TCTTTGAAGTGAGACGCGTGAGCAGTTTAATGGGAGCGGGACTAGGAAAACTCTTGGTCTTGGGGACTGAGATACCAAAGGCGTTTGGGCTAGAAAGACGATTTGACACTTCCACCTGGGTTCATGTAGTCGTAAATTTTTCCAATTACAATTATTTCCGCTTTGATAGTTTGGCCAGCAAGTTGCCTTTCTGCACGACTCATGTTGAGAACAACTTTGCGGTGAGCATTGGTCATGACATCCATGGCATTGACATGTAGTAGACCAGACTAGATCGATTGAGGCTAGATGAAATTAAGCTTGCTTTACGCTGAGTTTCTTATTATGGAACATTATTCATCAACAAACTATAATAATAATAAGTCATCGAGTTGAAAGAGCCTCGGGATGTCCTTTAGCCTGTAACATACCTATCTACTGCAGGCTCGTAATTGATCAAGCCATCTGGGGTATTCCTTGTCCTCGACACCTGGAGAGGGGTACATTTGGATCGCCCGTCAGTTGTCAGCCGCAAAGAGCTAGTGACGACTATTAAGAGAGCCCCCCATAAAATCTTATCGTCGGCTTTACAACGAACAGTCTAATTACCATCGTATCAGTCTCTGTCATGGTGCGCTCACGAGTCGCAAACAACGTACGAGCGCCAAGGCAAATGCGTAAATAGGTACGCTACCTAGCTAACAGTTCTGTTGAAGAAAAGAAAACATGGATGGATATTCTCCGGAAGGCTGGCTGCTTACTGTAGATCACGATCCTGCACTCTCGTGTGCGTTCCTGTACACCCAATGTGAGTCTTGCTGATTCTATAGGTGGAGACGGAGAGTTGCTGAACGCTCTCGGTTTGGCTCCGACGATCAGGGGTGGCCCTTGATCAGCGATGGCAGGTTAAGAGACTAAGATACATACTGCAAAGCTGAGGTACGTAGAACTCTTGCAATACTTGAAGGTGATCTGATACCAAAGCCTCGTGGTGATGTTGATCAGCTCAGTGCACCAAGATTTGGTGTCATAGAAATTGCCCTTTCTGGTAATAATAACGAGATCCGAGGGGTAAAATTCAAGTCTCGTATTATTGGGTATATTTGGAGAAAAAAGGTGCCATTCAAAGGTCCAAGACCTTGTCGTTTAAGGTTTGGACAAAGATCAGATCAGCCGGGGCCAGGGGTGTAAGCGAAGTTTTGCTTCTGCCGAAGTTCAGCGTAACATGGAGCGCAGTTAATGAAAAAGAAGAAGAAGAAAACATTTTTCATGTATTACCGCATTAGTATGTGACAGCTCACACACTCCGGCTCCGACGTGGGTTCACAGGAGGGGGGCCGTATCCGAGTCAGCGCATTGAATTGGCCGGGCCGTTGGTAGGGTCACCTTGGAAATGCCTAGCTAATTGTCGTGTGAAGGATGGGAGCCTGCAGATGAATATTTGTGTCCCATCAACGATAATGCACGAGAGGGTTCTGACAACCTGAACGACCGGCTACTCGGCCTGCAGAACCGAGGATCAGGGGTACCTTGAGCATGGAGCCTGGAGGGTATCACAAATAATGCCTGGGTCCTATAACAGAAGGCCCCGTCAGTCGAAGGGGGAGTCCGTTCGAGTCGAATATCCATGATCTGATCCTTCCAGGGTTCTTAGGAGCGCTCGCTATCGCTGTCTTCTGCAGAACAAGCTTTTGAGTTATAGAAAACGTTTTCTTACACGAGTTCAAGACGTAACTATGACTCGCTGGACCTGAACTGAATCTGTGTAAGTGGCAGGGAAGTTGACCTGTCACGATCTCTATAAATCCTTCGTCTTTTCGAGCAATTCCTTCGGTTTCCCATCGAGTAACGAAACTAACACCACAATTCTCTTGTCCGTTACCTTGCTTTATACTACATCCAACTTTCCTCCTCATCAGCTCCACACACAACGCGCACATCGTGTAATACCTGGCTGGCATGAAGAAGGTACCCGTTCTGCGTCGCACCTTCCCAAACACCTTACTCCCCGTGCAGGACAGGACAGGCGCAGGGTTGGCAGTTACCTAGGCACAGCAAGTATCTGAGGTGTATGTGGCATCCAATCCATTCGTTCCATTGTCCTAGGAAAGTGCGGTTGCCTTCCGAAAGGACTCTTTTCTCTGTTTCATATGGTTGACTAATTCCGCCTTTATTTGATCTATCCCAAGAACCTCCCCTCACAAGGCAACGTACTCACAGCCAACTTGCAAATGTAGATCAGGGCTGAATATGAGCTATACAACATTTTCGATATGAATTGCCAGGGCTGAGCAAGCCACACAAACCATTATGCAAACCCTACCACTACATAATCGATTGTCTGTTTCACAAGAGGAGAAGCAGCTCCGGGCTAACTGCACCTTGCATAGGGTGAAGAGGGATGTATTCCTCTTGCTTTCCGAAGTAACGTTGGCTTTCGGCCAACGACTGGTCTGCACTGTCTCGGTCGAAGAGCAATAACTTGTTCACACTCTGCAGCAAACTCAGCGCCATAAAAAAAAATTTAAAAAAAAGAGATGTCACCACCGAAAAGAGGAAACAAGACCTAGAAACAGTGACGTCGAACAAAAGGGCTAAAAAAGACTACCGCCACGAAGACGGCAGCGATAGATGTACATGGTTTAGCCCACAAAAAACCGTTGTCTTTCCCGTCCGTCATGTTCAATCCTAACGACGCCCCCCCCAAAACGACATATCAGCTCAACGGCCAACAACCACATCCGGCTCCATTGGTCCCCAATTCCACTCGAAACGTGTTAGCTTCATCATCCAACGTGAATCCCTTTAGCCCAGGGTCCTCTTTTCCCTGGCATGGCATACATTTTCGTTGGGTGGACTACAGGCTTGCGGCCCCCTGCCCCCTGGTTGTAGCCAGCCACCCCCCCGCTCCTCGGTTGCGAACTTGGATCAGACCACCATAATACAGACATATACATACAGAATTGTGTGGTCAGTACGCGGTCTGATTTGGACCAGAAGCCATCCGTACCTGGTTGGAGTGTTCCTGTCAAAATTACCAAATCAATGGAACCATCTAGTTACAGTTATCATCTCCGTGCTGCTGGATCCGAAACAACCGGGCCACCGTACGAAGTCATAGCAAAATGAAGAAGCTTGTGGTATCATCTACTATCACGATGGCCTTACCTCAGTCACCTGGTCGTTATTCCCAGCATGCCCAGTGAGCTTCTCAACTTACGAGTGGTCCTTCTTTCGATGAGCCACCTGAATACCTAGACTAGTCGAGCTGTGGCACTTGACAGAACGGACTCTTGGCTTTTATGAGAGATAACGGATGAATAACGTCCTTCTCTCTCCAGTTTAGAACGGGCAAGAGCCTTGTGGAGTGGCCGGATAGCCTAGTTTAAGAAGATCCAGATCTGACCGCTCACAATTGTTGCTACAACATGATTCGGCATCGCGCCAAACTGACAGAACTTGGAGAACGACACTGACAGGGAAGATATAGGCGCTTCAAACATGCACTCTTCCGCGCTTGACATGTGAGCGGTAGGGCTTTTCAAGCCAAGATGTCCAATAAAGGCTGGATGGGCAAGGTCTCGATATGCCGATCACTTTACAGAGCACGAATGCCCGAAGTACCACTTACAGTCGGTCCCCGTCCCCTTCCCGGGCCTAATCCCAGCCCCGGTTTCCTGTCTCCTCCCCCCAAAGGAGTCCACCTATTTCCCAGGTCCAATTCCAGCTCATGTTTCCCAGAAGCTGTCCCCAAATCCCCCTTTGGGCGGTAAAGGCGGGGGCACTGGCCAATTCGATTGTCGAGTTAATGCAAACACAATCAGGGCGTCGACTTGAACCCACACATGGCTCCTCCATCATTCAGCATTGGCTTTCCCACGGCCACGGATTCATACCAGCCACATCTTCCTATTGGAAGCCTAATAGTTCACGTGGGGAAGGGACGAGAAGCTTGTCCTGCTTTGACACAACACCATCAGGTTGCCCTATGTTATTTTTGACAAAACAGATCTCACCACATCCTATAACTAGGGCGAATGCGTGAGCACGCCAGAGTGTAGTCATCAAGGGCCTCGAACCATAATACCGGTCAGGCCTCGGGACAACGTTGGATGTCCCCGTGACTAGTCACTCGACTCTCAAAGCCTCAGGGGAAGAGGCGACAGACGGAGGAGGAGAAGGAAAGGGGCCGGAGGCCGAAGTACGAGAAAAGGAAAGACCACCACGAGGATACGCAGTCGATAGTGCGGCTGAAGAGGGAACCTGTGAGTAAAGATGTGACGATCTGGGCAAATGTCACCCAACCCAGCATGTGCTCTGACGTTAACAATGGTGTGAAGCAGGTACGCGGAGCGGCAGTGAGGAAGACCTCGAATGCCGTTAGTGGAAACGAAAGGTACGGCCACTCATTCGCTCATCATCTAAGAAAGAATTAAGGGCAGGGAAAGACATTCGATCCGTCACCTAATAGGTGACCGATTGTCTCGTGGTGCCGAGAAATCTCTTCGGTGGGGTGACATTTATCTTGTGTTCGGTGGGAGCACGAGACTACCGTACAGCATCGCCCCTTCTGGAATGGGAATAGGGCCCTCGATCTTCTAATTTGCTTGTTAGATGCAAATCGGCGTCCGTGGTGCTAGAACTATTGAGCAGGTTCTAGTGACGTCGGAGTCTGCGGCTTCAGATTGCTGTATAAGCTGTCGGGTCCCTTAAACTACCAACCTCCGTGGTGAAGTACGGTGCCGGCCACGGGCCCAGGCCGACTGAATCAACGGAAGTTGTTTATCAAGACGTTCACTGATCGAAGCTCGATCGCAGTTTCACTCAACATCATACCTTGATCCTTGGATCACAATCGACGACCAGTTGCTATTAAAGTGAAAGCCAGGGCACGCCTAGTTGCATAGGCAAAAACGATACCCGGCCCACTCCTCCAGACACCTAAACACAAGAGCCGGACGAACACTCGAGTGGCTACGCAGATCCTGAATTTGCTGCAGCCTTCGACCTCCAATCCCACCATGGCGGGGGATCATAACGAGGACCAGTCATTCTATGACTTTCTCATAGAAGAGCCAGAGGTACGTTAGTTGACGACGAGGCGACGGATGGAGAGTGTACAGCTGCCCCCTTGTGCGATGTGAATTAAAGTTGAAGAGGTAAGTTTGGCCAGTTGGAGATATCCTGTCGAGGTCAATGCTCAATAGCATGTCATGGCTGCAGCAAAGCAGCTGAGACATGTCAACACCATGCATCAGGCCAGTGGCTAAGTCTCGACCCAACTGGTGTCTATCTCGATTCCGCCTCTCCCGAAGAATGACTCGAGCTATTGAATCATGGTTTATTCTCGCGCCCTGGTTTTCAATGGTACCACAGAAAAACTCGTTTAGAAGAGGCCATTTTTCGCAAAAGTTTCCTCGTCAAACGAGACGCATGCAATTCAATAGCTCAGGGGCAAAAGAACCGACGGGGGAAAAGAGCTGAAGCGAGTCGAGACCAGGAAGAGACAGAGCGGCAATTTTGAGACAGAAAACAGGAGAAAGAGAAGAGTGAACAATCAGTGAAGATGGAATAAAGTCTAACATTTGGCGTTTCCGTTGGAGCAGATGATAGCGCCGGCGCCACCCGGTCATTTTCCACATCAACAGCCCATTTCGTCGCCGAATCGAACCAGCCGCGATGCGCCGCCGCGGCCAGAACCGACCGAAATCGAGACCCACCACCACGCGAATCCAAACGCAAATCATCACTCGAGTCCGGTGACCTTACCGGGCCCGGTACTCGGAATGCAACTGCCGGGCACCGTTCCTGAATCGTCACGTGCACAATCACGCGCTCATCTTGAAATTGACCTTGATATCGACTTACACGCGCAGCAACACCCCCATGGTTCCCATCTTTCTCATGGTGCGCATCCCCAGGCGCATGGAATTCATGGTCACAGCCATGGCCATGGAGCTCATTCAGCTCAGAGTTCAGCGAGCCTTCCGCCCGCTGAGTTTGCAAGTCACATCCCTCCCGCCTCTTCTGGCCCAATGTCGATGGATTGGAGCATGTACCATGTTCCTCCAAACTTGCAGCTAAATCACCCTCAGTTTGATTTTGATATCTCAGGGCATATGAGCGTTGTTGGGCATCCGAATCATCTTTCGCATGCGCCGACAGATCCAGCCTCGTTTTCGTACGGAAGCAATCTCGTTTCACCTTCGAGCATTCACCCAAATAGTGCCCACTTCGATACCGGCATTCCAAATCAATGGGACGATTCTATGAGCCATGATGCCAACACTCCAAAAGTGCGGACCCCCGTTCATCATGTTGCCAGCAACCCCTGGGCCGAGATAGATGAGCATACAGGAGACAATAATGCAGCACCTGCTTCTCGTCCACGAAAGACTCCTCGACCGAGACGACAAAAGAAAGAGGCTCGCAAACTATCGGACGCTTCTCAGGGGGCTATGAGTAGCAGTACTGGTGGGACAGCACCTTCGATATCCGATGCTGCCAGCCCCAGCTCTGCGTCGCAGAACAGCCGTGCCAGTATTGGCTCCAAATCCGTGACCATGGCCTCGACGGCATCGACAGCATCTAGCCGCCAAAGCAAGCTCCGCAGTGCTTCTCGGACATCCAAAAACAGTCGAGACAAGCCCAACGATACTCCCGAAGACCGTCGAACACGAGCCTCTCATAATCTTGTCGAGAAGCAATATCGAAATCGCCTCAACGCTCAGTTCGAATCTCTCCTCAGTGCGCTGCCCGATCAAGTCCGCCATGGGGAAAGTAGCACCGGCAATGGAAACGAGGATAACGAATCCGACCATGCAAATGATGCTGACAGACGTGTCAGTAAGGGCGAGGTGCTTGAAATGGCTCGCAAGCATATTCAAGCACTAGAACGTGAGAGAAATCAACTCGAACTCGAGAACCTTGAGCTTCATGGCAGCCTACGACGACTCAAAGAATCAAACTCCGAAAGCGCAACATCCTCATCAGGACAAGAGAACTCTGTCGAACCCGACACAAATAAGGATCCCAAGAGGGAGCGGGATGATGATGAGGAGGAGGAGGATGGGAAAGAAGATTCATAACAAACAACATATTATGGGTATAGGGAGGCAAGCGTGGCACACTGCATCCAAAGTTTTTAGGAGTCAGGCTTCTCAAACGACATGTTCATAAACGAAGATATGTTTGATAAGTTTGCATCTCTCTTTAACCGCTTCGTGCGCTTTTCATATTCCTATTGCTGTTTGATTATCCTTTGGCTTGCTTCATTTGTTCGCACAGCATGTTGGTCCCATGACGATTTTTTTGACGTGGACACTCCTTACCCATGCGAGCTATTACCAGACGCCCTGCTAATATTCGTTTTCATGCTTTGGTTCTCAAGTTGTGGCAGATTCAAAAGGGGCGTGGCGCTCAGGCAGTATCACGAATGGAAGCGACTATGTCCTTTCATGGGTACTTGCTTGCAGGTTTGTTTGGCCTTGTATGTTTGTTTTTGATATTCCTTTTACATTCCCTCACTTAGACATGTTGTTTGATTGTCCTTGTTACACCTCCTTGCCTCATTACCTGTGCCATCCTTTCTATGGACTTACGACTCACATGACACAAAAGCCTCAACACCCCACACAACACATAGAGACATGGGCTTGACTTGATTGGACTGGACATATGTTCTGTGTTACATCATGTTGCCGCGCCTCCTTACTTGAATCTTCTTCGTCTACATTGGTGTGGAGCATAAGCATTCTATGAGGGAGCTCTACGGTTTAGTGTTTTACATGGAGCAAGCACGGGAGGGCAGAAGGAACAAAGAAAGACTTTAGAAAATGGGAAATGGATAGACATGGCTTTTGAGCATGGGTTATATGACACTGGCTTATCAGAGACATGTCTGTCTATAATCAAGTTCATGAAATAGACTTATGGTTGCGGTTTGAAATTCATTCCACAATTATGCATGGCAAGCATCTTAGCTTGACCTCCTTAATTTTAGTGTACGTTGGCTCTACCTTGAAGAAACTATCCAAGAGTTCGAAATTTATCCTGGAGAGCTACATCAGCCGATGGCATGAACAAGACGTGGTCGTATACTCTTGGTTCCCGAATCGCCTTGCGTTGCGTGAACCATTGCATTCAACGCGACCCCTGATGCATGACATGACATGCAATGCAGGGATTCAGAGGCAGACATCATCTCAAAGAATGCATCATAATTTTCAGTTGTTCAATAAAATAAGTTGGTCACTTAGCATGCGAATTATTGAATGCTTGGTTGTTAAACTTTAACATTTTTTTTTAGTCATTTTTAACTTAGTATATATACAAAGAGCAAGTAAATGTCTCAAAGTCAGCGCGCTTGGCAGAAATGCATTTTTTGGCTGTGGTGCCGGTATGTTGTACAAGATAGCTTACTGCTATGTGCCGCTGATTTTTGTCTAAATGTTCATAAATCCATCACTCATCATAACTGGAAATATTGCGCCAGTTGGTTCCCAAAGGTCTCTCGCATAGAGCTGGACCTTGTTCTCACCCATTGGCCGACCCCCAAGTGGTCGACTCCGAAAAAGACATTGCAGTAAAGATGAAAAAATAAAAACACACCCAATGCCTTGTTTAGCTTTTGAGTACCTCCCCCAATGCCCTGAACTGCTTTCTGCAGATCAAAAGTACGCCTTAAATGACCTGGTTGCCCGACGCTGAAGGTCAAGGCCTGAAAGCCGGACCGTAGGACCAGAGACCCAAGTATAGAATGCCTTTCACAGCGAAGCTCAAACCCATACAAAAGAAATCCAACCATGGGCTGACACGCCCAGGAGCACAGTGTCTTGTGTAAAAGCAGTGTCAAGGCGACATATGCCGCATGTGTGTGTGTGTGTGTGTGTGTGTGTGGGAGGGGGGGGAGAGAGAGAGAGAGAGATGAGACAGAAATAAAAGAAAGCTGCCTCAAGTGTTGAGGTCGACAACAGGTAACTAATCAACACGGAGGGATCAAATCACTTTAGATACGATCGCCATTGCCCTTGGCATATGTACGAGGAAATAGGGCATATTGACCCACAGGAGGGGCCTGAGTGCTGAGACTTGTAGTTCTAGCACGAGGACGTCGGGTCCTAGGAAGCTCGACAGACTTAGTGTTGCTAGGGATATCATCCCTGACGATAGACTCGCTTGCATGGCTCTTGTGGTGAGGCTTCTTGGTGACGGGGACAGAGGGGAATGGTGTGAGCTCAGGGACCGTGTCCTTCTCGGTGGAGGCAGGGGGAGTAGTGTCTTCTTCCTCGCTATCATCGTGTGATTTGATGATCTGTGACTCGCGGATTGTGTTGTTTGACTCAACCCACTTGTTCAGTGACGTGCTGCTGGTGAGACGAGTCAGGTTAGTCCAGGTGGAGTTGGTAGAGACATGGCGCTCTCCAGTAGAGTCAGAGAGAGATGTAGAGTTGGTAGCGGTAGTGGAAGTGCTTGCGCGTTGATGAGACATCTGAAGAGAGGTGTGACTGGCAGCGTTGCTGACATCCTCATAGGGGTGGCTGGGGTCAACGATACCATGAACCACGTCATCCTCACCCGAATAGCTCTGTCTCTCAGTCTCATTGAGGAGCATCTGTTGATGGTAGTCACCAGGGATGAGTAGCGACGGGGACAGGGTGAAGCCATACGACTCCTTGAAGCTGGATGCTCGAGAGTCGTTTCGACAATGGCCAAGATTGGACGGTCGGTGGACCTTGTCACCGCGTGGGAGCGAGAAGTTATTGGTCACGGCGACTCCCGTGCTTGGGGTGACGGCCTCGAAGGCACTCTCCGGCGAAGCTTGACTAGCTGGGCTTAGAGCCGGCATATCAAAACGGGACGCGGAAAGCATACCGGGAGACGACTCAGCGGTGCCGATGGTCGGTAGCTCCCTCAACTCATCGTCTTCAAACAAAGCCACTTGAACTCCAGGTGCATGCTCTCGTCCACCTTCCAACGACGGTCTCTCCCACTCGTAATCGAAGTTGGCATCCGCCTCGTGTTCGTAGCAGTAGTCGATATCATCCTCCCAACTCTCTCTAAAGGAGTGAGCTTGGCCGTCGTAGTGTCCAGCACTGTGTTGGGCAGCATCATTCTCGAGGGTCTGGGAGCCCCGAAGAAGAGGGACAGATTGGCTAGCACGCAATGAAGACCTGGTGCTGATGATACTCTTTGGTGATCGTCCAATGTTTACTGTATGTTCTTCCTCCTCTGGCACATCTGGCAGCGGTGGCTCATAAGTTGCGGCTACCGGAAGTGGCCAGGCTGCATCATCGGGGGTGGTGATCGCATGCGAGAATCGGTGATCGTCTACTGGCAATACTGCCTGCTCAGGGGCTATGGCGTAACCATGAGATGTTGCTGGAGGTCGCTCCATGATCTCACTAGGGCTAAAAGGCTGAGGGTGTCGGAACCCACCACTCGTCAGCGGACGATCAAACCTTGCCACTGCAAGTCGGTCACCATCTTGCAGGCTGGACTGTCGGCTTGAGCCTCTTGGGGGAGGAATAGGGGCACCCAAAGTAGGAGAGTGAAGCGGCTCAAGCGGAGGAGGTCTTGGGGGTCGGACCGGCCGAGGTGGGCTGGTACGGAGCTGCTCCTGGGATCGAGCGTGCTTGATCAATCGACGTGGAAGGTTAGAGGCTCTTGAACTACGGGGTGATACTTCATGTTCGACGACGCGGTCTGAGTAGAAGTTGGGTTGAGGTTGCTCCTGTCCCGGAGTACGAGATGCTGAGTTGGCTACCTGTTCGCGTGGAGTATGCGTCACATGCTGAAAGTTGAAAGGCCCAGAAATCTGAAGCTTCTTCTGGAGGGCCGTCTCATCGCGAGATGATTTCCGGCGGGCAAAGATAGTGGGCATGATGGCCTCCTTGAAGGTGGTCAAGGAAGTTTCGCTGCTCAATTCAGTCGAGTACAATGAACTTCCCGATGAGCTCTGGGCGCTGCTCTCACGTCTCGAGCGTCCTGACTTGCTCGACTTTGCACGGCGATGGAAGATGTTCTTGCCCAATACTTGCACACTGTCGGGTCGGTCTCGAGAGGAAGAAGTTCCGCTAGTCGTAGATCGTTGGGATGAGTGCCGAGTAATGCTCATGTTTTCGAATCCCTGCTCCCATCCTCGCTCACTATTCACAAACGACGAAGACCCAGACGATACAGCCCGGTGACCTCGATTAAGGTGAGACGCATGTTTCATCTGCTTGCTCAATTGGCGAATTCTCTCGGGTGATGGAGGGCCCTCTATGGCTGGCACCATGTATTCATCCAGATCGATGGGCGAGTGCCGGGTGTGGGGGGATACATCGCGGTAGCCATGTGCATCATTACTGGCACTGGCTTGAGCATTCTGGTTTGTATCGCGCCTGGAACGATCCGACTGGTATTCTGAGTAATAAGGCATTGTAGCAGCCCACATGATTACACAAGTCCTCCAAGAGGAGGGCGACGGCGGAGCGTGCCCTGTATGTAAACAATGACTTGCGAAACTGGACTATTCCACAAATTCTTGTTCTTGATTTAGACCAGGCAGGGCAGTGGGATAGAGTAAGGAATGGAGTAAGTGAGACCTTAAAGAGAGACTTGGGATAGGGCAGATCAGATGCCACGAGGTTTCAAAAACGTATCGAAATGAGGGGTGGGAAAGGTCATCGGGAGATCAAACAGCAAGATTATAACAACGAGGATGCAATGTACATATAAGTTAACAAGATGAGCGAGAGATTGATGCAATCTTGGGGCAAGGCAGCTTGTACCCTCCCAAAGATTAGACAGGCCCTAGGAACTGGGGCTAAGGGAGACTAGGGCGGTGGTAAGGGGGGACCCTCGACAGGGCTTCGAGTGGGTTGCGTTGGGCTGTCCCTGGCCCGTCTCGACGGACACAAGCCCCGGGAATCTGGGGGGGTTTTCCTTCTCTGCAAGGCCCATTCTGGCCGGGATAGTCCAGGTTGGATATATGCAAGGATACATCGATCAGGGAGACTTGAGTGTCGGTACCGCAATGCGTACTGTGCGAGTTTGAGTGTATGTGCCTGTGTCTGTGAGTGCGAGTCCATTTCCCTAACCGTAACCTCAGACGATGCTGGACTCGTCGTAAGGCGACATGAGGTCCGTGGTGGTGCCATGGACGCCCTAACCGCCTACCCAGACAGAGACCAAGTGGGTGCAAGATGTTTGACCATAAGTGAGTGTTATCTTGTATGTCAGGTTAAGACAAGAGGAAACAACACAAGCCGTTACACAGACACGACGAAACGCCGTCAAGCAGAGAATGAAGAGATCCAAACAGTCAAAAATGACCTGCAAAACTTTTCACATCCACAGAAGCAACTATAAATAAGTGGATGTTGACACAACGATGCGATGGGTCGTTATGCGTGCGTCAATGGGCAAGTTTTTCTTTCTCTGCATGCAGCTTGAAACAACGACAAGAGCTCAAAGCCAAAGCACAAAAAAAGAAAGAAGGAAAAGTCGGTCTCTGCAGTTGCGTTAGTTAGGAATGACAACGCAGCAACAAGTCGTGGAATCTGGACTCTATTTCTTTCTCGGCTGTGCGTCGTTCAATACACGATACTTGCAGTTCAGCACACTGAGCTCGTGGCAGATAATGACACTGGATTCCGGCGCCCGGTTTGATAGACTTTCTCTTCAAGATATACTAGCAAAGCTTCAGAGTGACACACAACTGACAGACCGCGTCAAGCCTGCTGGCCTCAGTGCGATGCTCGACAGAGAACCAAAGCCTGTTCCCTGTTAGCTCTGCTTTATCAGTAGCTTTGGAGGAGCCAGCTCCATGAGCAATGCAGGAACGAAGCCATAGCCACTTCGCTTGGCTCGGATGACGAATGAACCCACAGAGCAGGTTACGTACTCGGCCATTGACATCGTGGGGAGTTCCGGAGACTGGAGGTGTGACATGAACACAGTGAACCGCCTCTATGATCAAACGATTCGTTATCTAGAAATGGACATGGACAGAATGCAACCGGGGAATCCTTTCCATCAAAATCGGAGGGATCTAATGAAAATTCGAAATTAGTTACTGAGACCTTGACATGGCAACACTTCACAAAAGACATGCATTAGACCCAGACGAGAGGGGATCGGTGAAAACTGCAAGGGTCTTCTCACCCAGCCCTTCTACCCCACTGCATTTCCATCCGTATATTCGGAGCCCTTGGGACTCTCGCTTCGTGCTTTCCCATGCATGGTTTGATGATTCTCTTCATTCTCATTTACGCTGCGCCGTTTCCATGCCTTCGAATAATAGTCCTTCATCTGCGAGACTTGCAATCTCAATGATGCCACAGTAGCTGCGTGCTCTTTCATGAACCATGCTATGGTCCTAACTTGACTGAGAGGACTGAACTTGAAAGCAGGGCAACAGATGACGGGCTAGTTCAAGGCCCTTTTTTGTGGGTCATCAGAAGGAACGCGTCCGGCGTTGCAAGCTCTGGAGCTCTGGAAGCCCACTAAACATCTTGTGGTTCGTTTTAGCGTCGGGGATGGCGAGGATGATACAGACCGTGGCCAAGGTTGAGCAATGACCACATCTGCAGATTGCTTCATCTTCTCCTAGTTTAAGGAGTTTCCTTGCTGTGGAGGATAACCACTGATGGTATGGAACAAGATCTAGCTAAAGGCATGGTATAAGCATGTCTATCGTAATCAGCCCAGAAAACACGTGGGATCTGGACGATAAAGCCTGCTTTGAAACGTGTGTAATGCCTACTTCCGTGATCATGGACCAGATAACGTTTGGCGATGCAGCCATTATTTCAGTTCGAAGCATGCTCTCCAAGCCATGAGATCCATTGAGTTGCTTGAATCACAGACTATCGATACGAGGAGATTGCTGGCTCATTTCATTTCATTGGAGGCGCCATAGTGTTGCCAAGACGAGTCTTGGTCTTGATAAACTACATCTTCATTTCCTTGTTGGAAGGGACGGCAGAATACTCATGGACTGTTTTTAGACGCCTATGAGACCAGGGAACGAGATTTTCTCATGTCGTGGAAATCTCAACTACCCCACGAGAGATAAGGGCCAGATGGAGAGAGAATCATGAGTCTGGGAGCTAAGCAAGGTTAGGGGCTGAGCTAGACTGGCTGTTGCAGCACACAGACGGCGTGGCACCCAGCCTGAGCATTGAGGTGAGCTTTGTGCACAAATGGCACCGACGCCTACGGTAAGTAAAACAGGAACATCAACAAGAAAGGGAACCAGTGGTTGCTCAGACGTCTTGGTTCTGCCCTGACCCGCTGCGCTGGGACGGGCTGTGGGACGACGGACGCGTGGTGGGCTTTGCAAGACATTGGGCAGTCCAAGAATCCGGGTTTGGAAAAGAAGATCGGCTCGTGGATGACGCGGAAGGGCAGCCGGATGAGCGAATATGATGAGACAAAAAGCTTGATGCCGATGCGACGAAACAGACGCGGTGAATCTTTTTCTGGGACATTGCCGCGACCTTGTTGGCTCTTCCAATTGCTTGCGAGTTAGTGTTCCAATCTGGGAGGGGTCAATAACGGAGGGAACCAGGGCCCTGCAGTAACGTGCAGTAGCGCCAGGGTCAGAATTCCTTTACCGTTTGTGGTTAGCGGTCAGGGGTGGAGTGCCGGGCCTTGAGCGAACACACTGAGGCCATCAAGAACGTGCGTGTAACAGAACTCAGCTGGGGCTTGGGAGAGCTTTGATTTCCCAACTCCTGCTTGAATCGCGCGTTGGTGCGTAGGGAGCGATATGGCCCCCTCTGTCTCGATTAGTTCATCACGGGCCTAGGAACTGATCACGCTGATGACCCAAGTGGCATCTTGCCCCTGTCCCGAGCTCCATAAGAAGCTGCGCCAGCTGTTGAGCTAAGGAAATACGTACAGAGCGTCCTAGGCAACGGCAGACGGATGTTTGCCGCCACTGACCCTGGGGCTGCAGGAGCTGCTTTGGGGGCTTGATGACCCGAGACACTAAGGCTGGGCTTGGGTAGCTTCGAGACTGTTAGAGGCTGCTAGATGGAGGCCAGGTGGCGCCAGAAGCCGCGATGGAACCTTCGATTCTCGACGTCGTCACGATATGGTTTTGCTGTTGAAAGTTAATATGTAGATTACGATCAGAATGACGCGATGATCAAAACGGTAGAGTGATTTTAATTGATGATGAAGGGAATTATGAGAACCATTGGCGAGATGCGATAACTGGGGAGTTGATAAAAGTTGCCCATGCCCAGGTGTTCCTGTCTGTGTAGATGCCGAAGATGGACCTTCCTTCCCTCCATTATACCACTCACTTTGCTTTCACCTCCCCTGCACGCCCAACCCAATTTCTAAGGTAAGTACCTACCCTACGGGTTTCCGATTAACGCAGGCATATAGGTAAGGGAAGGTACCTGTTAAACTACCTGTACCTATTAATCAACTCAACTACCTGACTATTCGAGAAGGTGCGTTTGAGCTTATCTCTCGTTAAGCTGGGTACCTGTCAGTGAGATGTTCAATGAGGCAGTCGTGTCTCCCATCGCTATACGCGGTTGGTCCCGATATTTTGACTCCGGGTACACTTTTCCATGTGCATACGATAATTCGAACGAATCTCACTGACCCCAAAAGTTCCCTGCGACAATTGCGCTCAAGCTGCATCTCAGTATAAGGTAAGCATACAGGCCAGGACAAGTATAGTGATTGGTCACGAGCGTTGAAATCACCAGTCACACTCTAACCTATTACCGAGTAGGCAAATTAAACTGCGCCGTATTCCTTCATGCTTCGATGAAGAATGTTAGGGATTTCATCTTGACACCTCATGCACCGGATAATCGGAGCAGATTGACGCCACTGACACAACCAATTGCTTCACTTTAGCCGATGGCTGTCAGGAACGGTGGCAGGATCAAGGCCAGGAACAGGAACACAATTCTCTGCTGCTGCTTACCCTCCACTTAACAAGTCAACCCGATGCCTTACCTAACGAGGTAGGTTCTTCTAGTGATCGTTGGTGAGATTGACGAATTCGCTCACTGGCAGGCGGGAGCTTTACTGCTTTGGCGGTCTCCTACATACATTCAACCTGGCAGACCAGGGACCCGGGTTTCGTTGACATTGGCATCATGGATGTCAAGCATTGAGTTCGGAATGACAGAATCTGCAGCGCGGGGAGATTGAGGTCTTTCTCTGACGATCACCGACCTACCACACTTGGCTAAAATCTACACCAGTCCCATAGACTAAGGTACACCGATGAGGAGACGTGCTTCTGAAGGAATACGTCCCCGGCGAATTCTTGTATTTGTTGGTTGTTGTTGATGGAGATACCTACCTGATGCAGTAACACAACGTCTTGCTTATGCTCTTGAATCTCCTGATACTAAGGGTTCCCATATTAACAGTCCATCCTGAATACTACATACATATGGTCTTTGCTTTTGAATA